TTTGGTTAAAAACAATTTAAACTTGAATGGGGAAAAGAATCAAGTGCAATCCATAATGTCAAATTCCTCCATGACTGAATCTTGTGTTTTAGAGTGGTGAAAATCATTCTTATCAGTTATGCCTCGGAAATCTCGTTTCGGTAAATAATGTTGGAAACCATACAAGAAATAGCCCATTTTCTCCTACGTACAATCCAAATTAGAGAAATTATCCGAATTTTTCATGGGCCGGAAATTCGGGACTTCAACCCCCCCGGGGCAACTCAAGTCCAAAACCGACCCTCAAATCCCCCAGGATTTCATCATGGTGGTCATCACATGCAAGGTAATCATCACATGTACCAAAATGGGCAATCTTCACAATCACATGCACCTAGGCAACAAAATGCATCGAAAGGTAATGGTTCACTCGAATCTTTACTTAAAGGTTTTATAAACCAAACTAATGCCACCTTGAGGAACTTCGAGACCCAACTCGGCCAATTTGCCGCAGATCTCAAGAATAGACCTCAAGGAACCTTGCCTAGTGACACAGAAACACCAAAAGAACATGTCAAAGCTGTGACTTTAAGAAGTGATGAGAACTTGGGAGAATCTAGTAAAACAAAGGAAACACCTAGTGAACCGATTTGTCAAGAAAATATTTCACATTCTTTTGACACATCGAAATTTCCAGTTCTGTTTCCTACAGCTGAAGTAACACAGAATCCAGTTTCTGTCCTAGAAACAGTAGCTCTGCCCAATTCCAGCACCACCCAGTCTCCACCTGACACTGCTCACAGTGGGCAGAAGCTGCCCACTCCCCAACAGAAAAATACCGGTCCAACAGATTTAGATCTGAGAGATTTACCTTTTCCAGGTAGGATGAAAGCCAAAAATGTGGATATACAGTTTAAGAAGTTCTTGGACATCTTTAAGCAACTCAACATTAACATTCCCTTGATAGAGGCTCTCGAGTAAATGCCTAGCTATGTTAAATTTTTGAAAGACATCCTCAATAAAAAGAGAAGACTAAGTGAATTTGAGACCGTGTCCTTGACAAAGGAATGTAGTGCCCTTCTTACTTGCAAAATTCCCCCTAAATTAAAAGACCTGGGAAGTTTCACCATCCCGTGCTTTATTGGAGGTAAAGAAGTAGGTCAGGCCTTGTGTGACCTTGGGGCAAGTATAAATCTCATGCCTTTGTCCATTTTTAATCAGTTGGGAATTGGGGAAGTTCGACCAACCACCGTGACCTTGCAACTAGCGGATAGGTCCTTGGCATATCCAAAAGGTAAATTTGAAGACATTTTGGTTAAAGTGGACAAATTCATTTTTCTGGTTGACTTTCTAGTATTAGATTATGAAGCAGATAGGAATGTTCTGATCATCTTAGGAAGATCCTTTCTTGCTACGGGTAGGACATTGATTGACGTACAAAAGGAGAGTTAACCCTGAAAGTAAATGACCAGCAGTTGACTTTCAATGTGTTTAAAACTCTTACGTTCAATGGGGAAATTGAGGATTGTTCATCTATTTACTTAGTAGGTGAAGATCTAGATCTAAGTTTCATCAATTGTGTCCACAGTGGAGACACTGTGGACATGGCAGAAGACATTTGTGAAGAAGACTTACTTGAGGACATATCTGCCTTTGAACAGTTATATTTTAAAGATATACCAACCCAAACCCCGTCCATTATAGAAGCACCTGATTTGTAGTTAAAACCACTGCCTTCACATCTTAAGTATGCATATCTTATGGAGAGAGAAAAATTGCTTGTGATTATTTCTTCCAACTTAAGTAGTGACCAAGAAGAAAGGTTAGTAGATTTGCTGAAAGGCCATAAGAAAACCTTTGGTTGGACCATAGCTGATATTAGGGGAATAAGTCCGTCCCTTTGCCAACATAAGATCATCTTGGAAGAAAATAGTGTTGGAAAGGTACAACCTCAAAGAAGGCGAAATCCAATCATGGAAAGAAGTGGTTAAGAAGGAAATCTTGAAGTGGTTAGATGCGGGTATTGTATACCCCATTGCAAGTAGCGGTTGGGTAAGTCCGGTACAATGTGTGCCTAAGAAAGGTGGTACCACGGTAATCACCAACGAAAAAAATGAACTTATCCCAACTAGGACCGTTACCGGGTGGAGGATTTGTATGGACTATAGGAAATTGAACTTGGCTACTAAGAAAGATCACTTCTCTTTGCATTTCATAGATCAAATGCTAGATCGCTTGGCCGGAAAGGAGTTTTATTACTTTTTGGATGGGTACTCGGGATATAATCAAATCCATATTGCACCCGAAGATCAAGAGAAAACTACTTTCACTTGTCCCTTCAGAACTTTTGCTTTCCGACGTATGCCATTCGGTTTATGTAATGCTCCAGCCACTTTCCAACGATGTACGATGTCTATTTTTTCGGATATGATTGAGGACACTATGGAAGTTTTTAATGATTAATTTTTCGGTTATTGGCACTAATTTTGAAAATTGTCTTGAAAATTTGAAGAAAAGTTTGGAGATATGTGAGACCCATGACTTGATTTTAAATTGGGAAAAATGCCATTTTATGGTGCAAGAGGGAATTGTTTTGGGTCATATGGTTTCAAAAAAAGGTTTGAAAGTTGATAAAACTAAAATTGAGGTGATAATGCAATTGCCCGAACCAACTTCGGTCAAAGGCATTCATAGTTTTTTGGGACATGCGGGTTTTTACCGACGGTTTATTAAAGATTTTTCTAAAGTTGCAAAACCGTTATGTAACTTGTTGTATGTTGACCAAACTTTTGAGTTCACCTCCAATTGTAAAAAGGCTTTTGAAACAATCAAGAATGCTCTTGTCTCGGCACCCATTATTATTACTCCAAATTGGTCCTTACCTTTTGAGATAATGTGTGACGCGAGTGATTGGGCCGTGGGTGCCATTTTAGGACAAAGGCAAAATAAGATTTTTCACCCCATATACTACACAAGTAAAACTCTTGTTCAAGCTCAATTAAATTATACCACAACGGAAAAAGAATTACTTGCAGTAGTATTTGCTTTTGATCGTTTCCGTTCATACTTGATTGGTACCAAAGTCACTGTTCATACAAATTATTCTGCAATAAAGTATTTATTTAACAAAGCTGATGCGAAACCATGACTTATTAGATGGATTCTTTTATTGCAAGAATTTGATCTTGAGATTGTTGACCGAAAGGGAAGTGACAATCAAGTGGTCGATCACCTTTCTAGAATTTAAGGAAATGTATCAACTGGGGTGGGGGGAAGTCATAAGATTAAGGAAATTTTCCCAGATGAATATATTTTACCCATACAACACAGTTTTCAAAAACAACATCCTTGGTATGCAGATATTGCCTACTATCTTGCATGTGGCCTTAAACCATATCATTTTCAGGGAAATAGGTTTAAGAAATTTCTTCACGATTGCAAGCATTATTTGTTGGACGATCCGTTCCTTTTTAAAATGGGATCGGATAAAATTTTAAGAAAGTGTGTCCCGGATGATGAAATCCAAACTTTGTTAAAAGAGTGTCACGCATCACCGTACAGAGGCCATTTGGTTGACAACGTGAGGCCGCTAAAATTTTACAAAGCGGATTTTTTTGGCCTACCATGTTTAAAGATGCTTTTGAATTCGTGAAGAGTTGTGACCAATGCCAACACATGAGAAATTTGTCCCAAAGAAATGAGATGCCCTTAAACAATATTTTGGAAGTCGAACTTTTCGATGTTTGGGGTATTGAATTCATGGGACCATTCCCCATGTCTTTTCACAATCAGTACATTTTGGATGCGGTAGACTATGTCTCCAAATGGATAGAAACAAAGACTTGCCCAAGAAATGATGCCAAAACGGTAGTGAAATTTTTGCATAAAAATATTTTCGTATGTTTTGTACGACCCCGAGCATTGATAAGCGATGAAGGGACTCATTTCATTAACAAAGTGCTTAGTGCCGCTCTTGAAAAGTACAACATCCAACATAAAGTAGCCACGACTTACCACCCACAAACCAATGGTCTTGCGGAACTTTCAAATCGCGAGATAAAAAATATTATAGAGAAAGTGGTCAAGGCAAACCGTTAAGATTGGTCGCTTAAATTGGATGATGCACTTTGGGCCTACCGTACCACTTTCAAGACTCCATTGGGCATGTCTTCGTACCAACTTGTTTTTGAAAAATCTTGTCACCTCCCGTTGGAATTGGAGTATAAGGCATTTTGGGCTATTAAGGAACTTAATTTAAATGCAACTCTTGAGGGAGAGAAAAGAAAGCTCCAACTCAATGAGTTGGAAGAGTGGAGGTAGCAAGCCTACGAGAATGCCAAGATATACAAAGAAAAGATGAAAATGTGGCACGACCGTAGGATCAATCAGATAATTTTTGAAAAAGGTCAAAAAGTTCTTCTCTTTAATTCTAGATTGAAGCTTTTCCTCGAAAAACTCAAATCTAGATGGTCGGGACCTTTCACTATTGTTGAAGTGGGAAAATTTGGAACAATAAATCTCTTAAACCCACAAGACAAAACGGTTTTTAAAGTAAATGAGCATCGGGTCAAATATTTCTTCCTGGAAGGAATACAAGATCCATGCCAAAAATCTCTCTTATTTTCATCGAAACTGTCTGTTGTAAATAGTGTATATATTTTAATTTTCGTACTCTTTATTTAATGCAGGTATGCTCGCGGTAAGCATCTCATGCTCACATTCTGAAGTGGGTTTTGGTAAAAATTTAAATTTGGCGGGTTTTTGTAGATGTTTTTAAAAGAAAAAGGGAAATAAGAAAAAAAATGGGATTTTTAAATTGAAAGAAATTGATGAATTTTCTGAATTGGGTGGCTTTTGTAAGAATGATATGACAAAAACTTTTCAAATTTTTTATTTAAAATTTTTTTTACACAAAAGGTTTTGAATGGGGTGGTTTTCTAGGGCTCTTAACCGCCGGTTTTCTAAGAAAAATGGGGGGAAAGTCATTTTACATTCTTCATCTTCTACATTTCTCCTCTTCAATGGCAAAGTCACGAAAAATACCAACCGGCCGACTTCCGACACTGCGGTCTACACGACGGGCTGTCATCGGCGAGTCTTCATCCGTCTTCCCTGTCGCATCAGCGGTTGCTCCACCCATGGCCCAATCAGAACCACTTTTGCCCGTTCCCATTGCTTTTGCACCGCCGGCTCGATCTTACACCACCAGCACCGCCGGTCGCTCCACGGCGGTCCGGGTAGACTACGATGAGTCTCATGCGGTTGTCACTCCGGTAAGTATCACTACAACTCATCCCTTATTGACAACAATATTTCCCTCCATTTTCACTATACCTATCACTACCACCATCGGTGCCGGTCCGTCTACTTCACGATTGCCGGCCGCCGTACCTTTTCCCCCTACAACAAATAAACCCCTTTTTCTAGTCCTAACCACACCACCACCTACCATTCCTACCTTTTCACCCATACCATCGCCTATTAGCCCTCCACCCACACAACAACCTCCTATACCCCTTCCATCGACACCACTCGGCCCACCCACCATACATGATTTCGACCTTAACCTTAGTGATACCCTAGGGGAGGAGTTCCAATTTGATTTTGAAGATAATGCTTCCTCAAATCTAGAAGAGTTGTTCCCTTTTTCTGTTCCTGAGACGATGAAAGAGCAAACACAGAAACCCCAAGAGACTCAAACAGAGGATGCTCCTCCTGCTGAGGAAACACCAGTCACTGCCCCGGTGGGCAGACTATGAGCACAGAATCCTCTTCAAGAAGCATTGCAAGTTCAAGTTCGGAGTCTGTTGTCCCACCACCAATACCAAAACCAGTCCCTCGAGACAGTGATTATGATGATGAGATGGCCAAAGATATAGAGAATGCTGAGGATGTTGCGTACGAGATTGAGGAGATGGAGGAAATTGAGGAAGAGGTCGAAGAAACGGAGGTTTTGAAGTTAGCCAACCACAACCTTCCAAAAAGAGAAAGGCAGCAGCGAAGCCGAAGAAGAAACCAACCCCTAAAAAGAAGAAAGCCAAAGTGGTACCGTTCCAAGAAAGGTATGACCGTATCAAAAACAAAAAAAATGTTCTTGAACGAGCTTTTGACCTGAAGTTGGTCAAGTCACTTATGGCTATCAAGCATCACTTGGTGGCCTTGCAATGGGAGCATATGGTGGTTGCTCCGCTAAAGGCCAATGTATCTTGGGTAACCAAGTTGTATGCGGCCGTTGGCACCACCAAGAGTATTTCGATGATTATTCGAGGCAAGAAAATTGATTGGTCGGGGCTGAAACTCAATGTGGCCCTCGAACTTACTCCCCCACCGGAATGCTCTTTTGCCCAAATTATGAAAGGGACATTGGATGTTTCTGATGATGATATTGCATCCATCCTTACGCTCCCCGATCATGGATGGTCGAGGGACAATTGGCGCCAAATTATTTTGGCCGGCGATCTAAACAATGAGGCGGGGCTTTGGTTTCAATTTTTGTGACACAACTTGATCCCACTATTCATGATAGTACAATCTCAAGGGACCGATGCGTCCTACTTTATTGTATCATGAGGTTGCCAATCGACCTTGGGCCGATTATACACACATCTATATTGGCCGCGTCTCCAAGGACGCATTCACGCTTAGTCTTCCCGACCCTTATTACAAAGCTTATGGCCAAGGCTAAGGTCCCTATACATGATGAGGATACAATAGTGTAACAACCCTCATATTCCAAATACATATAATTCACATCATCATTATCATAATACTAAAATAGTACTATTACAAAACATAAACTGTCAAAATGTATCTTTAATACATTTACAAAGCAAACTAATATAAACATTTAGACTTTTCCCTTGCCTTTATCTTTCTGAGCATGCTGTCCTGCAAAACAGGTTAATCCAACATCTGAGCGTTAGACCAAAAGGTCTTGTGAGTGTATAATATCATACAACAATATATATTCCAAACATTTAGTTTAGAATCAAACCTGTTCCGAAACATAAGTATATTTATGTTTCTCGCGGATTACACCGCCATCTCATTCTCTTATCTCTTTCTCACTCACGGTTACATCGTCCATTATACCACTCTCGCGGTTACACCGCCATCTCACTCACAGTTTATACTGCTCATAACACTCTCGCGGTTACACCGCCAACTCACACGTAGTTTATACTGCTCATAACTCTCTCGCGATTACACCGCCCATATCACTCTCGCGGTTACACCGCCATCTCACACGCAGTTTACACTGCTCATATCACTCTCGCGGTTACACCTCCATCTCACACGCAGTTTACACTGCTCATAACTCTCTCGCAGTTACACCGCCCATATCACTCTCGCGGTTACACCACCATCTCACACGCAGTTTACACTGCTCAAAATATCATTTCAAGAATATTTCTCAAAAACACCCATTTCATCCGGATATGAAGTCCGGTCAAACTTGTCCGGATTAGAAGTCCGGACAACATACTTTGAAAATAAACCCTCTTTCTCCGGTTTAGAAATCCGGTCAAAACACTTTGAAAATATAATAACATTCTTGTCCGGATTACATATCCGGACAACACATAACTTTCTTTGTCATCCGGTTTAGATTAAACGGGACAATATACAATTTAAATCTTTTACCGGTTTAACAATCCGGTCAATACTTTTGATACTTTAAAACATAACCCGGTCAATACTTGTCCGGTTTAAAACATAATCCGGTCACCACTTGTCCGATTTATACATCATCCGATCACCACTCGTCCGGCTTAGACTATATCCGGATAAAGCACAACCGGTTTAAGTATCCGGATTACAATCCGGATACCTCTTAGCCGGATTACTCAAGAAACAACATAAAATGCAATTTAATTCACAATAACCAGTTCCAAAATGCTTATCAGATCATATATAAGCAATTCATATTCAAAGCTCTAAACACTCACCTTTTAGAAACTGAAAATCAAAGCTTTTGGATTCTTCTTCGTCTTTCTGTGCAATCTTATTTCTTCAGAGTAAAACTAAATATGGTATGTGTTTTTGTGTGTGTTTGCTCTTCACAAAACTATATATATGCATGCCATCACAAAGGAAGATGAGAGGCGGCTTAATAGCCGACCTCCCTCCCCTCTAATCTTCTTTTCTTTTTAAAAAAAACAATCCACACACACACACTCATTTTAAACACACACACACACATATATATATATATATACAAAACATATATATATATATATATATATTACCAAAAATATAACTAGACTATTACCAATAGTGGTTGACTCACCCTTTTTTGGACAGAACATAGTCGACCGTCAGGAAAGAGCCTCTCGGCCCTTTTTGAATTTGCAGGATCCAGTTCTGGTTGAGAGAGTTCAAGAAGAACCGGTGGCGCCAATGTCGAATGAGCCACCGGTTGTTGCTGTTTCCAAGCCACAGGTTGTCGCTGTCTCTGAACCGCCGATTATCGCCACTTCTAAGCCACCCGTCGCCCCTGTTAAGGAACCGCATGTTGTCCCCATGACCGAGCCTTCAATGTAAGATCAGTATGTTGCAGTCGAAGAGGCTAGGTCGTCCGAGCCACCTCCAAGCAATCCTTTGGCTTCGGGTTATGGGTCAGCCACTTGGCTTTCTGTTTTGGCAATCCAATGTGAGGAAACTAATCAGAAACTGGATGCAATATTGAAGAAGGTGGGGAGAGTGAAAGACCAAGTCTCCGACTTGGAAAAGAAGACAACCCACTTTTGGGCGTATACACGAGACTGGAACCGAGTGGAATGACAGCTTTATGGGCATCAAGCCGCTCTCTTGACAGCCCAACTTCCAAGGTTTCCAAGTGGTCTATGCCCCCCAGGTACGATGTTTCCCATCCTTGCTGACTCCCATGAGATCACTGCTTTTGTTACTGCCATTTTTGCTCCTGCTCCTCATGCTCTTGTTGATGCATCTACTGTTACTGCCTTTGCTATCATGCCTGCTGCCCCTGTCCCGGTTACTGGTCCTACTGTCTCAAGCTCTAAGGAAGCAGCTGCGGCCCCTGCTTGCCCATAGTAAGCAGTTTTGAAGGAAATGGTTTTATTCTCGACATTTCATCATTACCTCTTAAAACATTATTTTTGGTATATCATTTTGGGGTACAGATACATTTAATTCCGTCTTTTGTGTATGATTTATGGAAACTTCATTTCTTTTGTGTGAATATAATGACATGGTGTTTGGATTTCATTTTGTTTGTCTAGTTCCATTTCTTTTTTCAGGTACAACATCATTGGATGATTTTTTAGTAGTGTTTAAGTTAAAAGGACGTAGGCCCTCCTTTTATTTTTTTAAGCCCAAACACTTTTCCCCTTGCGCCCAACCCGTACCCTTTTGGTCTCTTTTGCTACAATGGGGACATTGTTCATATTAAGTTTGGGGGGATGTGTTCAAAAAAATATATATCTTCGAAAAATTGGGAGGTATGAAAAAAAAAAGAAGAAAAGAAAAAAAATATAGAAAAAAAGAAAACAAAACAAAAAGAAGAAGAATCGGTCTTCGAAAAATCGGAAGACAAAAATAAAAAGCCTGGCTTTCCCAAAGGGCAAGTTTATGCCAAGAAATGGGTTACAAACTTTTTCCAAGTACTCAAAAGTGAATCGATGAGAACTTTTGTTTGAAACCCTTTTGTAGTAAAGGATAAGTTTTGGGGAGGGATAATGCCCACTTTCTGCTCACATTCTTCCTATGGCGTATTTTCCTCAAGACGGATTTGGACAAAATTCAAATACTGGCTCTTCTGGGTATTAAAGGGATTTAATTCTGAAGTCAGATCCGAAATTCTTGAATTATTTAGAATAATGGGCCTTTTTGGATTAAAAAATGTCTTCAAAGTAACCCTATCATTATTTTAATGAAAAGACCTTAATTACCTTTTCCTTAATTTAAGGGTTAGGTAACTTGACCTTTTTCAACCTTTCAAAAAAGGTGACAAGGCCTGGAAAGTAGACAAGAAGTGATGGGAGGTCTTTACCCTCTAGTCAATGAAGACTTTCTTTCTTTGGACGAAGAGTTTGTCCGGTTCTCACTTTTTCATTATATATTGAAGCTTTTCTCTCATTTGGAAGACATCAATCCATCAACAAATCAGCCAAGCAACCTTGGAGCATTCTCTCAAGCTCTAGAGCAGTAGAGCAAGTCTAATTTCTGCATTTAATTTTATGTTCTTACTTAGTCTTTAATTATCGCCACTGTGTATTGTATGCTCCCTGTGGGCAACAGTTTAAGTGCTATTTTCAGTTCAAGTATTTATTAAGCATTTTTTTTCTTCTGTTTCCTCTATGTTTTCTAATTTTATTATGAGCTAAGCACCCCTTTGGGTGTGGGTGTGAGTCAAACTTAAGAATTTGAAGGCACACTTGGGTGTTGCCAATTTTATTGATTCTTAAGATTGGTCATTTAGGTCGGGACTTAAGCTCAATGCAGATAAGCTGATCACTTTGAAGTGTTAATATTAGATCCTTGATCCAGAGATGGGCGGATCTGAAATACGACTTAGATGATGCACAAAGATTTGATAGAGTCTTTGATAATCACGCAGAGATGCGGATTCTGCATGTTTTTAGCTAATGTTCAGATATTAGTCGAGCTTATACTACAAAGAGATGTGAGTATAAAACTTCAGGCAAGTGGAACCAGATATCTTTTTATCTATTAGCTAATTCGGCAAGTTTAAGATTGGTAAAACTATACGCTTTATGGGCACTCTATGAGCATAGTA